TCGCCCGCGCCACCGCTTGCAGGAGAGTGGTTTATATCCCCCGCCGAACTGCGGAGGACAGTAACCCGCCTGCAACCGAGGAAGGCGCCGGGGCACGACGGGATTACCAACGCTGCACTACGACAGCTGCCCAATAGAGTCCTTGTAGAGATAGGTCGGCTCTACAACGGCATATTGCGGACATCCCACTTCCCGGAGGACTGGAAGAAAGGCAAAGTCATCGTCTTGCTGAAACCCGGGAAGGACAGGCGTAGAGCTGCCAACTATAGGCCGATCACGCTACTACCGCATATAGCTAAACTGTGCGAAAGATTACTGTTAAAACGTCTCCACCCGTGCATCCAACTTCGGGCGGAGCAACATGGATTCAGGAGGGGTCACTCAACAGCAACACGGCTGACCAGAGTGCTGCACCTGCTTGCGGCCGAACACAACCGTGGCCGCATATCGTTGGGCGTCTTTCTCGATATCGAGAAGGCGTTCGACCGGGTGTGGCACACAGGATTACTCTACAAGTTAGACGTACAAACAAGTATCCCTCCTGCTATATTGCGGCTAGTGGCGTCTTTTCTGGAAGGCAGGAAGTTCTACGTCTGCGTAGAGGACGCCGAGTCCGCAATAAAGACCATAACAGCTGGTGTGCCACAGGGTAGCTGTCTGTCTCCAGCCCTGTACGCGGCGTACACAAATGACATCCCTACCCTGGCAGGACATTTGCGCGAATGGGAGGACGACGTCGAATTAGCGCTTTTTGCGGATGACAGCGCATACTTCACGTCGTCCAGAAGAGCCCACATTGCAGCTGCCAGGATGCAACGTCTGCTGGACCTGCTGCCACCATGGTTGGATGAGTGGAGGATGGCCGTCAATGTTAGCAAGACGACCGCTCTACTCACTCGCCGCTATAGAAATCTACCACCACCGCTAACCCTCGGAGGCCAAGAGATCGCATATGAGAAGACCGTGACCTACCTTGGATGTCGGATTGACAGGATGTTGCGTATGACTGCGCACGTCGACTCTGCTATACGCAAAGCTCGATGTGCGCGGGCAATGCTCCGCCCTGTCCTGACATCCAAGTTACCGACAAAGTCGAAGTTAACTATCTATAAAACATACATAAGACTCCTGCTAACATACGCTGCTCCGGCCTGGTATGCACTCCTGAGCGATCATCAGAAGCGGCGACTTCAGGCCCAGCAGAGTTTGTCATTACGAACCATAGTCGGAGCGGGTCGCTACGTCCGTAACGACGTTATAGCGGCCAACTTGAAGATGGAGAGCCTGCATGAATTTGTGGTCCGGCTGGCGCGCGGTATGTTTGACCGTGCTGACAACGGGCCACATGAACACCTCAACGGCTTCGCGCCGTTGCATGCAAGGCCGCCGGACGGGCGACCCTATCCAAGAGAACTCCTCCCTATATAGATTAGGGAGTCGAGTATAACCCACAATGCCGCAGAAAGGCCAACTCAGACATAATAATTTGTGATTAAACAACAAATTATAGATTACCACCTTTAATGACAAAATTAACCAACTGCGACAAAAGTCGCCCAAACAACGCCTATAACATCTAGGCGCCCAGGACCGGCACACTGTAGTGTGCCGTGAGGAACATCCGGGCAAAGGGGTACACCCCGAGGCCCGAGACCTGCACGGCATTATGCCCTGCAGAGGACAGCAACGACGATGGAGTTAAATATACGCGATAAAATCCGTAAAAACTAGTATTATTTAAATGTGTAGTGTTCTCATAAATATAAGAAATCATTAAGAAATCATTATCATTGAGAAGAATGAAGTTTTTCATAGCCTCTATTAATGACTTTACTCCAAAAGTTCTGTTTATGTTTTGAAAGAAATTGAGTTTACTAGAAGTGTTCAAAGATTATAAAGGTAAAGTATAGAATGAACTCTAAACTTAAAAAAATTTTTCAGTCAGATAACGAGAAGAAGTACTGTATCAAAGAATTTGATAATTTTTTGAGTAGACATCAAATTGAACATCAAACAAGTACCAAGTACTCGCCCCAACCAAATAGCCTAGCAGAAAGGATGGATAAGACGTTTTAAGAAATGGCCAAGTATATGTTGGTTCATGCTCATTTGTCAAAGCAATTTTGGGCAGAGGCGCTAGCAACAGCGGTCTATATAGTTAATAGATCACTTACTAGATCACTTGATCGCAAAACTCTTATAAAGATGTGATCAGGCAAGAAACCCAACTTATCAAATATATAAATTCTGAGCGATCTCTGAGGCAGAAGGCGTTCAGGCGTTCAAGCGTTCCGCGTTCGCGTTCTTCGTTCCTTGTGTTGTATTACGTTACATAGACATACCCAGACAGCAGTAATTCTGTGTCAACCAGAACGTAGGCGTTCGTGATTCGTGAGCAACTGAACGCTCGAACGCAAAACGCGAACGCCGAACGCTCGAACGCAAAACGCGAACGCGGAACGCTCGAACGCAAAACGCGAACGCGGAACGCCCGAACGCAAAACGCGAACGCGGAACGCTTGAACGCGTGACCGCTTCCTGTCTGATAAAACACTTAGCTCTGAATTAATGGCTCAAGTACCCAAAGAAAAACATCAAAAATGGGATTCTAAATCTAAAAGAAATTATAAAAGTTGAGATGCAGTATTTTTTAAAATGTGGACTTAGTAGTAGACTTGAGCATAATGTTGTAACGTTACTTACCTAACAATGATCCTGAAATTCAGTCAGAAGAATTTTGATTTTTTGACATAAACACGCAAAGTAAACTTACGTCCACGCAGAGCTGCCGAGTATGCAGAAAAGGATGACCATAATGTGAGTCACTTTATCCCATTTTTAATTTGTGTGATCCTCTCATTTTTGATGAAGAAGCTCATCTCCACATACTGATCAATGGAAGGAGGCCATGAAAGAGGATTATGATTCCTTAGTAAAGTATAAAACTTGGTCACTAGTAGATTTGGCGTCCGCTAAGAAAGCCTTTTCATTTAATGAGTGTATATAATAAATAGGAAGGGTGAGATTGTTCGTTTTAAAGCAAGATAAGTCATTACGGGCTATGCTTTAAACAAGGTGCATCGGCACGATGGCAAGAGAGGTGCTTCCGAATTACAGAGCATGATCGGCTGCGACGTGCAACATAAAATAAATCTGCGCTTGGAAGAGATCAATGGAGATTTTCTTCAGTTACCTGCAGCATTTACGAGTAAATGCTTAACCGAACTGCAAAGCACCGCGCAATGCGATCTGCGGAGCGGCGCTTTGGCAATCGTTCTATAACTATTATCTCGAACAGGTTATGACACAAAGTGATTTTTGGCCATACTTACGAAAATCGGTAACGGTGAGAAACTCGATCTTAGCAAATTGCTCTGATCGAAGATCACTTCGGAAGAAAAATATCGTTGAAGGTAAACTTAATTGCTGCTGTTCGCCTCATTCATCGCAAACATGATGTTGCCTCGAATATAACTATGCTTTCGCACCTTAGTTCGAAAGTATCGCAGCCGACAAGATGATTGTCTGCAATACGCTAATGGAGGTCACGACAGCTCGACGTAACTTACACAAGATAAGCATCGTCAAGTCGGGCGGTTTGCCGTACAGCATAAAACTAGCTATCGGCTAACCATATATGATTACCATGAACTTAGATGTTTAAGATGAACTCGTGAACGGCACGATCGGTTCGCTTAAGAGGGTAGGTGGTCTGCGCGGGAATTGAAAAATAGGTATTTGGTAGGTTGTATGACCGCCGTTTGTAGTCATAATTTTTCCGTTATTGTAATAACTTTGTTCGAATGCAATAAAGAGTTATCTACCTATCTATTTGAAGAAACTATTGCCGTCCCTCTCCTCTGGTCTCCACCCGAAGAGTGCGATAGGGACAACTGCAGCTCAAAACGATTTTACCAACAAAAACCACGACCGATCGTCGTTTCGTAAATATTTTTAGTATCAAAATTTAAAGGAAGAATAGATTCTATTATTTGCTTTTATCTTAAAAACTTTTCAAATTTCTTTGGTCGTCGTCTGATTACGGAGGTAAAAACGGGGCATTTTTTAGGTTTTTGGTTAATATTTCTTGGTTGTTTGAAGCATGGAGAGAGCTCGTAGTGCATTCAAGTGTCCTTTTTGGTGATATCCAGGATATTAAAGAGAACACTTTACCTATGTATGAAGATGTGATGAAGTACTACGAGTGGACTAGACCTTAACTAAAATTGATAGAATCAGGCGTTACTTTGCGGAAATTCATTATAATAAAGATATTAAAATTTAATTCGCAACCATCCCCTTAATTATATACAATGATGTGTCTTAATTGGATTGAAGAGCACCTCCCGCCCTCCCTCAATTGCGTGCACTAATTCCGTCACCATTAGTCCCAGCACCAGTACTCCCAACACCACTACTCCCGGCACCACTACTTCCAACACCACTATTCCAGGAAAGACACACCATCGACGATGATACGACACGTGTTTCGCCTCTACACGAGGCGTCCTCAGGTGATGTAGACTCTACGGTGGCTGACCGCGGTCAGTGGTGTGTGACGGAATTAGTGCACGCAATTGAGGGAGGGTGGGAGGTGCTCTTCAATCCAGATAAGACACATCATTGTATATATTAAGCGGATGGTTGCGAATTAAATTTTAATATTTTTAATTAACTAAAATTGCAACTGGAAATTATGAAAGAGCCAATATTTTTACAAATAGCAGATATTGTGGCACCTAGAATTGAAAATATCTGGCAAACTGCGGATATTCCGATCGTGACTAGAACACGAATTATACAAATGTTAAAAGCCTACCACTTAAAATGTAAAAATTTACTCAAATCTATTAAGAAGCTCTTTTCAGAAAAATTGGATAATTTTCGAGAAAATAGTAAGCAGCTGTTTGATGTTTCAGCACGCAAATGCAAAGAATTCACAAATAGCACCTGCCCGACCGATAAAAACGAACCCAAACGAGAAAATTCATTTTGGATTGATGAGCGAAAATGATATTAAGCGAAGTCCACGTTACTACAACGAAGAAGCTACAAAAGACTCTACAGACCAAACTAGGTCGGGAAAATCGGTCAGGTACATCCTTAAAAATTGGTTTTAATTCAATTGATTCAGAAATAGACGATTCTATGTTATCGTCGCCATCAAAGTAGAGCTTATAGTACAAATGATTTCGTAACTATCACAAATGAAGGAGTTTCTGACAAGAAAAAGAAAAAGTTTATCTACCTTAACGAATACTTGTGATAGATATGGAATCTCAGGCAAGACGGCAGCAGCAATCGCTTCATCTGTTTTGTACGATATTACATCAGATGTCGAGGTTTTTTTATATAGAAACAGATTATTGACAGACATATATTACGATGCGAGAGATTGAAAAATCGTCTGAAATTTATAAAGGACGACACGAATACTGAGCTCATCGCTTTGTATTTTGATGACAAGAAAGGCAAAACTATAAAGATTGTAAAAAAGGTAATAAATATTACAGAACAATGACTGTTGAAGAGCACAATTCCCTAGAACATCTTTTGGCAGTAGGTTATGATAGGACTAATGTTAATTTTGGAAATTACAGTGGTATTTTGCGACTCCTTGAAAAAAGGCAACAAAGGCTCCACCAACGTATTATTTGTTTACTGGATAATATAAACGAGCTGCAATTAAGGCATTTTTACATATAGACATAGGCATATCGGGACTCAAGTCTTACGCTGAACGGAAACGGAAAATTGTGAACAAATATCGATTAAAAAATTCCAACCCATCGAAGCAGTATCACTCCAAGAAATGGCTCCAGATTTGAGCACAGATCAAAAGTACTTGCACAAGATCTTCTCTGCGGTACAATCAAGTTCCTTTCCAGAAGATCTAGCGAACAGGTCTCCAGGCATACAATCTCATGCTCATTGGCTCACACGTGCCAATCGGATCCTACGTTTGTATATAGCAGCAGAGAAACCATCAGAGAATTTGATTGCTCTAGCTACATTTGTCGTAAAGTCGTAAAAGTTTATGCCCCAGCTTGGTTTTCGATTAAGAATTAACCATCATGTAAAGATGTAGCTCGAGCTCGACATCTATCATTATATTAGCCTGCCAGAATCCCTGTAAGAAGTGATCGACCCCGTCATTCAACGCAATAGGTACTTCGCACATCCTGAGAATTTACTACTTGCAATAATTATAGATGGTAAAAAACACATTCGTGAATTGGCCTGACGTATATTAAAAGCACGTAGTACTATAGCGATTCCCTGCACCAAGTCTATTCGAGATTCCTGATATTAATTTTAGCGCAACATCCTACATTGATATGATAAATTTGCAACACACCATTACTGAACCGCCGATCTTGAAACACATAAGTGACCAAGAAATTCAGCAAATAGTCCAATCTGGTGGTAAGGGTGAACTTTTGGTTACGTCTCTCATGTCATACCCAAGCTGTTTAGCGACCTGTGAAGTTGACGCCAGAAGCGGCCATTTCTTAATGTAAGGATTCATCACAATTAGGTGACATAAAAGCCAAATTGGAATCCCGTAAGAAAATGCCAAAATTCGAAACGAAGAAAGATTTTCAGGCAAATTGACGATTTATTTTTTAAAACATAATACGATTGAATTTTGTTTCACTTTTTTAATAAATTATATAAGTATTCTAATTATTTTGTTAAGCTAAACTCTTATTTATTATTTATCTTAGCCTAAGCACACAATTTTTTTTTTTTTGTGAATTATTACACTTTGAGGCCCCAGCGGAGACAAAAGGTGTTATTCAATTGAGCTGAAAAAAGCATTTATATTAACTTTAAGCATAAAGCACTAATCCCGCGATACTATACATGCTAAGGTTAATTCTTCTTTCTTTAGGAATATTCGTAATTTCATTTATCCATTTCTAATCTAATTTTAATAGTGCACCCTCAAGCCGCGAACATTTATAGTAAAATAATATAAATCGAATGGGTACCTATCGAACATATCTTAGATTCCAAATAGCATCAAGATCAGCGTTAGGATATTTTTCTATTAAATGTGAATAAGGTATAGAAAAAGCCAATAAAATGAATAACGCAAAATATATTAAATACTAAAATCTATTTTTACTTACATAAGGTGATTTAAAATAGAAAACTTAGTAGAAAGAAGCATAGAGCATGTTGTAAGTTTATCGTAACCGTATCTGGCAACACGAATAATTGTTAGGTGATTACTTAACATCCGGTAAATTGACATGGCGGCGGCGCTTGCGTCGTCAGACAGCAGAACGCAGATGTCAAATTTTAGTTCCTTTACCACTGTGCGTCAAGCGCGGTGCAGTGTGCGGTATATTTCCATCGGATTTTAGACATGTAAGTATGTTTTTATTTCATTTTCTTTATTTACATTAATCCATTTTACTATAATAATTATTATATTCAAATAATTGAAGTCGACTTTATACATTTTTACGACTTTTACTAAAATTTTTTACCTTACGTAACCTTTGATATCGTTGTTTGCACGTGACCTTGCCCCATTTAAGTTTCCTAAATTTTTTAAATGTATCTACAATAAAGTAAGGCAATGTCCTCATATGTTTCGGTCATTCATAATACTATAATATTATCGATTATCTAGATGGCCGCATCGACCTCTTTAAGATAACTAACAGTATTGATTTGTTGCGATTTCGTACAATTACTTACTATAATTTTTAAGGAATTTAATGTATTAGATAATGATATAGTATTAAATTTATTTCAACATCATTCGTATGAAAATGCGTTTTATTTATAATGTTACAAGGACATCGCATTGGCATTGGCAGTAACTTGTATAACCTCTTCGAGTACACCAATTTAGGAATAAAAATAAATACCTTTTATGTTAATTATATATTTCGTTATGTGGGGGTTTATAAATATTCTACATAGTATTCGTAATTTGTTAAGTTTAATGTTATCACTTTTATGTTTATAAGATTTTTATAGCCGTACTTACAATATCATGAAATAATGTAATTGTAGTTTATGTGTAATTGTAGTTTTCAATTTTATTCTAAAACTAGTGTACTTTCATATAATAAAAGCAATTCTAGCAAAAGTTGCTGGTAATAAAAAGCTAATTTACTAATAAATACAAATTAAAACTTTACAGCTTAAAAAAAGGATTTAGTGCATAAATAACAAGGATCGATTGTTATATAACTACATCCAAATTATAATAATAGGAAGAGGTTATTGGTAACCAAAAAGAGTCTTTCAAAACTTATATTTTATTTTAATTCTTAATACACAACTTACTTTTTAGATTTAAAAGATTATTGTATCATCAAAAAGTATTACTTTATATATTATTATATAAAATAATACTTTTTGATGTTTTGTCAACTTATGTTTTATACTTTTGTAAACAATATTAGTTATGTTATATTCAAAATAATAACTTAACAATTTTACTTCAATCTAATATAAATTATTTTTATTTTACAGTATAATGTTCTCATCCCTTTTGGACGTAGCTCGGAACTCACCATTCCGTGGGCCCCTCACTCCTGCACAATGTGAACCATCTTCACTTGCTGCACCACAAGCCGCACAGGTATGTAGTAATTTTGTAATAAATCAATATATTTTGTACTGAAAATCGTTTTTCATCTATTAAATCTAGACTTTTATGGTCTGTGCATTCTATCTTGGCCGGGCTGAAGTTAATAATGATGGTTGCTGAGATATAGTTTTCAGTTTTGTTTTTAGGAACAAAATAATGACAGGAAGCGGAGAGTGCTAGTGGTAATATAGATTAGAGATGTAAAATATGTATATTGTTCGGTTATAATAACATTAATACTCAATTATCAGTTGTTTCAATTTTATTTTATATTTTTTGTGGTTAATTGCATGCCTCTTTTTTAATTAGTGTAAATGTAAGCAACATCACCATGAACATCGAATACAGTGATTATGATGCATTAAAGATTTTATGAAATAATTTAAAGTCATGTTATTTTCGGGTTACTGAAATATATTGACATTCCCGCATTTATATTGTGTTTTACTATAATTAATTACTATATATTCAAATTTTTTATCATAATTCTATTAAACTATGATTTCATTAAAATACTTAAATATGTTTTCATAATAAACATAATTTACAATTTATTCTATAATCAATTTAGACAACACAAATGTTTCTGTAAGCAGTCTTAGTTGCAAACTTGAAATGGCACACCCCTACATGAGTGAATATTGGAGAGTCAATTTCAGCCTGGCCAAGATAGAACATGCGGACTTTACTTGCTAAATAATAGACTTTTTTTGAATAGAATTTTTTTTCTGTGTTCAAATACAATCATGTAATTTGTAAATATGCCCGGTGATGACAACTCATGCCAGAGGGGTGCTGTAGTACAGGGTGGTGTTGTTCAGTGATGTTGAGATATCACTCTGCCTTTGGGTAGCGTGTTCAATACCACTAGTGTACTGCAGGGTTGCCCAATGATCAAAAGATTATGAGAGCTGAGGGCTTTAATTATTATTTTTTTACTTTACCACCTTTTAAAATACAATGTTGAATATAGATTTTAACAAGCTACATCAACGTGCAAAGTTACTTAATGAAGAGTTGTCTTTCTATACTCATTCAACTTTTTGCATTATAAGAAGTCATTTGCATGGAACAATAATATTATTATTGTGCCACAAAGAACATGGGTCAAATATGACCTGACTGAAATATGCAACGACCACCAATGATTGATACGTCAAAAAATAGTTAATTATATGTATATCAAAGTACGGAGTCCAATTTATTTTATTGAATCCGGTGAAATAAATTAGCTTTGTAATAAAAACCTCATTTCCTTACTATTTTTTATAGGTTTTGAATGTATCTAAACCCGTCCCATTTTTATCTGTGGTACAAGTTTCATCATAACACTAAAGTAACACTACCATTATGTATTATATAATGGTAGTGTTACTTTAGTGTTATGATATGTATGTATTTACTTTTATAAAATACTAGATTTTACGGTGGGTTTTTGATTTATTTTTGTAGTTTATTTTCAATTACATCCTTTTTAGATGGGGATATGGATTGAGTATTCCGAAATAAGTTGCAAATGATAGGTTGACAGTTAATATAGAATGCACTAATAGTTAGAACGGAATGTATTATGAGTATCTCTATTTCTCTATGTAGTCTGTGGTATTATGACATAAGAGCTGTCAAAGCGTTTATTGTTTATTATAAATATTCTACTGTATATATAACTGCATACTTTTCATATCAATGGTTTTAGGTGAAGTTTTAGTCATGGCTGCAGACTTATTACATCATAAGCTCAAAAGTGACGAAATACGCAAGTGTGACGTTCTATGATCCTCTGCTTTTAAATAATATATTTTCAATTTAGGATTGGTGATTGTGCCTAGGGGAACAGATTAATACATACACTAGTCATGTTCGCGATATTTTATAGTCAGGTCACAGCATGTATGGTCCGTGACTGATGTTCTTTCAAACTCTGGGATATCATGTACTATCCTTAAATCAATAATCCAATATCCCAAGTTTGATCCCTGCGAACAGCATTGAAAATTTTCATTGCAGTTCTCATAGCAGTTATGGGTGCATTGGGAGAAAACCCTCCTCTCGGAATTAGAAATATTTTGAAGGGCTTTGCAAAGTGAGAAAGTCTGTCTATATGTACAGCAAGAAGTACTAGCATTTGTGTGATTAATTAGCTGTGATTGCATACAATGTATGACATAGGATTCTGTATAGTGTTCTTATTACAGAGTGGTATGGCGGCGGCGGCGGTGGTGCAAGGCGACTCCTGCGAGTTCGCCTCGCCCAAATACTTTGCGCTCTGCGGACTTGGAGGCATCCTATCTTGTGGTTAGTTTTTTATTTATTTATTTTTAGTGAGAGTTAGCAATATCCCATTCCATGTAATGAGTGTCATTTTTATTAATTTGGGGTTGGTCTTTGTGATCAGTTTGCTTTGCAGTTATAATCGTAAAATTTTGCTTTCACGCTTGTTCACAGCTGGGCACAGACCTCTGCTTATTTCTATGAGAGTTAGTTCACCGCGCTCGCGTTGCGCCTGGAAATATTTTATTCCCCAAACATGCAGGTTTCCACACGATAGTTCCTCAACCACTGAGCATGTGCTCAATAATTCCGTTGGTACCGCTAAGGATAGAAACCAGGTTGCTCGCATATTATAAAATTCACTGCTTAAAGGTGTACATTAATTCTACACATATTGCATTATTGAAATAAAACTTCTTTAAGCACGCTTGACTTTGGGAGTAAGCTGGCAAACATGTGACGAAAGCGTTACGAAAAGTGTGATAGGGCGAGGCGAACAGGAGTTGAGTGGGGGATATAAGCAAGAGATAAAAATGTGCGCGTGCACATTTTCTTTCTCTCATAGCCAGTTACGTTTCGTATTTTATGAATTAATATTTTGTTCAAACATTAAATATTCTACTTTTAAAGTGAATAAAATTGTAAACTTATTTTAAAAACATGATTTTGTTAATTTTCGGGTGAATAATAACAAATTGTGGAAGGAAGCCGTCAGTCCTGTGGTCATAAGCGCACTCGTTTTTTTATAATTTTTAATTTGTATTAGTATTCCCTTATCAAAAACATTCTGTTACATTAACCAATTACTCAGCGTTATCGAGCTACTAAAGATATATAACATGATTTATTTCTTATCATTTGACGCTTTTTATCTTGTGAAGAATTATCTGATAGCTGCCAATTATCACATTAATTATAACTGAAGAATTTAGAGATTATTAATTAATACAAAATTATGCATACATGGTAGGAATCTATTTTCTGTCTAGAAGTCAGTCTGTGTATCTGAGTATATATATATATATATATACTCTCTCTCTCAGTCTCGACAGCTGTAATTGTTTATGGCAACCTTTTGATAAGAGTGACTTACCATTAGGTAAAAGCAGTAGTAATTAAATTTATATGAAAGCCTGGGGGCGAAACATCGCATTTTTTAGGCGTTTTAATTATTGCAAGTATTTTGATGAGTTGACGAGGACAGACAGACAGAAATATGGTTTTCCTATCCATGCACGCAGTCGCAGTTATTGCTTGTTGTAAATATAAAGTTGGTTGCGTTCATAACTGCACTTCAATAAGGCCGGGGCGCCCTTGGCCACTGTCCAAGAGCTTGCGTAAGCTGACGTAACCTTGCCGCAGATCGATCACGTGTAGACTGCTCATGTTCTACGTTTACACTGACTATATACGCGACAGAGGGTAATGATACCATGAGATTGGCAGAGCAGCGGCTTCCTAATAACAATATGAAAATAAAGACTGCGGTTACCAAGCATCGCAACTTTGACTCATAGATACCTAAGTCCATAGAATACTATAATACACGATAGAATGGCTGTCAACCTTATTTTGTACGAGGATAGGCGTCGCCAAACCCGATTCGCTGTGTCGACAGACTGAATAAATTTACACATTTTAGACTTGATTAATGTTCAAGAACAAAATTTAAAAAAAAACGTTTAAATTTTAATACATATTTATTTGTAAATAGGATGCAATTTGGCATTTTTTTAAATAATTTGCATGCGAAATTTGGAAACGATTGTAACTTCAAAACACATCTCGTGTGTTGACATTTATACGTATGAATAGACGTGTTAGTAACATTTTAGTGGCCACGCGGCCTCCGCCCACTCCCCCGTTCTAATAAGTATGTATTTTAGTATTCTATGCCTAAGTCTATTATCAGGTAAAAAAATTAGACTGAATGTCTTATTACCGGTAAAAAAAGTCTCCCGTTCTTTACACTCAACATACAAACCCCATAAGCATTATGCTGGTAATACATGGTTCTTCCTACTCAAGCCAACCCATTCTTGCTGCAATATAATAAAACTGCAGCTTGGCTCTTCCAAGTACATAGACTGTGTTAATCAGGGATGTCAAGTTTAATTTTCTATACGGCCATTTACAAATTTAAAGGGAGCTGCTTCTAAGCCGGAATCAAAATAAATGTATGCAAAAAATATAAAAAATAATCTTTATTTAGGGATTTAGATCAGCCAACGTGAACTAAAAGGCGCGTATAGCTCAGACATCGTCGAATTTACTAAATTTTGTTGTGTAAGTAGGTAACTAACATGCTTACTTCGTTTGTCCGCGGGCCCTGAATTTAACACGACTGGTGTTAACATCCGAACATCAACATCTTACCGTGATGTGCTGGTGTAAGAATATCTACTTCCCCATTTCCCGTGGTTGACGTAAGAGGCGACAGAGAGAAACAAATCAGGATATGGGCAGCAGCGTAGACAGAGAAACCTATAGACTAATGATTAGCGTGGCCTCGAGTGAGAAAGGACGATAACGTAGTTTTAGGTTGTACAATAATCTTTATGACTTTTAAACATATTTAGATAAAATTATTAATTGTTCTAAGAACTGAACTGAACAAGATTCACCAATATTAAGCTCACAAAATAATTTTTCCTCACTTAAACCAACTTGTAAACTCCTTAGATCGCTACGAACTGTCAAAATTGTTTAGCAAAGTGTAGATTGCTAAACAAAAACCGGTACGGAGAAAGGGACAAACAATCACACCGCTCTGTCTCGTTTCTATGCAAGACGTATGCATAAATCTATCTTTTTCGTGTGCGAATGCGAAAGAAGGCGTCATTTTGTCTATAGGTTTCTCTGTCTACGGGCAGCATCGTCTTCCTAATAACGACTAAAAATAAAAAATTGCGATTGTAAAGCGTGGCAACTATGGTAGATACCCCCCTATGAGACAATCTTTGGTAAGGCCAATGTTCAGCTGTGAATTTTGTTAGGATGTAATGAACAAATGATTTGTGTGTCTGGTTGTATTAGGGTGCCCATATCTTTACTGCATTCTAATCATAAAATGCACACAGACAACGGACTTGTTAAGGACTGTAATGATGATGATGGATGAACATTGTGGCTCAGGACAGATACAGAAAACTAATCTTCCGATGGAGTCAAAAGACAGTATATGAATGGCGGATCCAAACCACAACCCTTTGAGTCCGCTGTCTACTCTGTGTTCTATCTCATTCTCTCGCAAGCTAAATCTTATATATGTATATATACGATTGTCTTTTTTTTAGAGTCGATTTTTCTTTTTATAGGGTTCGATTGATCGATCGGTTCTAAAGAAGTTTTACATCAAAAATAAATCTGTATAAATAATTTTATGTAACATTGTTTGAACCATCACTTCAAAAAAAATTAATACATAATTTTTAAAAATTTCACTTGTTTGACTGATTTCATTCATATGCCTAGCGTCCCAGCATTATAACATTCCAACGTATAAGAGTACATCTAGTACTAGGGCCGATGCAGATGCAAAGGTAAAACCTTGTGCTAGCATCATAAACGGAGCGGAGTAAAAGTCTAAACTCATAACTATCTTTGTTTCAACAAATGATTCAATCAAATGTTGTGATATTGCGCAGGTGTATATTATCGAATTTGTTAGATAGTACAAGAAAAAAATTCAAATTCAGATTTTTATTGTTTACAAACCTTGTCTGGGTTGAGCTACAAATATTGCCGAAAAAGTAATGTAAATTGCCCTACAGGTTATGGAGGAGATAGATTTCAAAGAATCGTTTTCTTGTGCCATGGGAGCTCCGCTCGCTTTGCTCCAAAATTTTGTCTATAAAATTAAGTGGACTGGTCTGATCAGGTATAACTCATACGGCGGTGGTGCCCCTCGATCTGGTGAAATGTAGACTGCAAGTGGACGCCGCTAAGTACAAGAATGTGCTGACCGGTTTTAAAGTGTCCGTGCAGGAGGAGGGTATGCGCGGTCTCGCCAAAGGCTGGGCGCCAACCTTCATCGGTTACTCACTACAGGTACGTCCAGGGTTCAATTCATATTGACTTAGGGAATATTAGACGTAATAAAATTCTGAGAAAACATACAAATAAGTCCAGGGCTTGATTTGTAAATAACTGAAGTAAATCCGTGCTAAAAAATCCATCACTCATTGAAAAGTACTAGGATGGTTTTATTTTCTTTGAGAGCCACCGTCATAACCATCTTGTGTATAAAGTTAGTTACAGCCTATATACGTTCCACTGCTGGGCACAGGCCTCCTCTCATTTCTGAGAGGATTTTAGGGCAAAGAAATGCCCGTCACGCTGTCCCAATGCGTGTTGGCGAACTTCGTATGTCTTCGAAAATTTTTGTTTTATTTCTCTGCTGGTTTCCTCATGTTGTCTTCCTTCACCGCCGAGAACGTATTAAAACTAAGGCCAATGCAGATGCAAAGGTAAAACCTTTTACTAGCATTATAAACGGAGCGGAGTAAAAGTCTAAAGTCATAACTATCTTTATTTCAACAAAAGATTCAATCAAATGGTGTGATATTGCGCAGATGTAAATTAGCGAATTGATTAGTACAAGAAAAAAAATTCAAATATAGATTTTTATTGTTTACAAACCTTGTCTGCGTTGAGCTACATATATTGCCGAAAAAAATGTAAATTGTCCTACGGGTTATACGGTGGAGATAGATTTCAAAGAATCGTTTCTCGCACCATGGGAGCTCCGCCCAATCAGTGCTTAAAATTGCAATTATAAATTACAATGGTGTCGGTGGGGATCGAATCCGGGTTGCTAACGTACTGTGAAAGTTTGCGTGGTGATTTTCTCAAGTCATGATAATTTTGCCGTAACATAGAAGTGGCGGCCATTTTGTCCGATGGGCACCATTCTCATCCTTGTATAATATTACAAATTTGAAAGTTTGTCATTCAATAATGCTCTAAAACCTTTTTGGTGAATTTTAGTAGTAGTAGTAAATATCTATTAAAAATGCCCGAGAATAGAATATATGTCGAAATAGATACTAAAATAGCTAGTGATGGTGTCTTATTTATAATGTTATCCTGTGCAAATGATTATAAAAAATATCCAATTGTTCCTACAGAACCACCATGTTGATAACTAACCGTATGAGATCAGCGTTCAGTCTAAATTCGCTCTAATCATATTTGACTTACGACTAATATATTCTTTTGTGTTTAGGGTCTGTGCAAATTCGGCTTGTACGAGGTGTTCAAAGTGACGTACTCCGGCATGTTGGATGAAGAGACTGCATATACGTACCGTACTTTCGTGTACCTCGCCGCTTCCGCATCCGCCGAGTTCTTCGCCGATATCGCTCTGTCGCCTTTAGAAGCCGCCAAGGTGAGGCTGGCTGTGGTCTAAAATTATTTTGTGTTTAATATTGGCAGCTACAAATGTGCCACCGGCAATGAAGAATTAGAAACTCGGACACTACATATTGTGGCCTTGTATATATAATTCTTTATTACCACTTCAGAATTCTCTTCCTCTGCATATTGGAGAGAAATGAGAAATGAGCAAGGCCAATATTGAACAATTATTTCTAGAACTTTAATAACAATAATAATAATATTGTTGTAATGAATTGTGCAATTTATGTATGTAAAACATATACAGGGTACATTCTCTGTGTTTGGTAACTTCTAAAATATAAACTATTATAACACTTGTGAAGTCGGAGGCTAGTCAGCTGCAGAATCATGCACGAGTGTATGTGTAAACAGAGTTGCTCTATTTATTTCCCTTACTCTCTTAGTTGTAACGCACAGGAATCCGAGATCAGGCGCAGGGCAACGGGTTTGTAACACAGGTAGGTATTAAATACCTTAATAAGAGAATTTATTAACAGAAAACCCAATAGCTGACAACAAGGCAGTAACAAGTAAGTAAATTTTCTGTAGATTTCTTTAGAATTCGTATGTCGTAAAAGGCGTGTGAGTGTCAACAAAGACATGGCACTATAACTAGACCGGCGAAAGGTGGTGTTGAAGGTTCAAGGAGTTTAGTAGTACGATGGTGAATCCTGCAATGGCTGATGATTAAATAGAATAACTTGGCAATACAAAACAACTGCCGCTCTACTAAGCGATTATACAAATAAGTATAGCGAAAGCTTGAATACTATCTTTGTTCCTCAATAACTAATGGACTTATTCAGCACTTATAAATTAATATACAACATACAATACTGATGTTAAACACTCGTTACCCGCGGTGCCATAAACTATCGGTGCGCTAGGGACGGATGTGTGCGGTGAGTCACTTATCGATAACCGCTTATACTTTACTTTTTTTCATAATATACACATCGACACGACAGTGCTGCGACACTAATGCTTGTAAGTGCGACAGAGATCGCAACAGATGGAATCATGAAGGTTAGAGAACAGGAGAACGATCGCCGTAAAAAATATGAACACCATCAGAGGCGCTGCGATCGCTAAGTTCGCTCAGTGAAAGTCATTTTCAGTCAAAGATGCTAAACCACTTGCACATCCACTTACAATAAAATATTTCTCCATTTTTTAATGTTTCTTTTTGTCAAAAATTACAACATTACAGAGCATGAAAATTTTCTCACCAATGCCGCGGAAAAAATTTGTACATTATTCAACTAACTTCACCTACTTGTACTCATAAACAGCTAACTTCGTAGTCACTACTCACCGACGTCAGCGCCGCTATGTATTCTACAATTTTCAAGGACAGGCGGGCTATGCTTTAGTACGTAGTGATCGTTCTCCTGTTCTCTAACCTCCATGGGTGCAATAAACAAGCGATACAGTGACCCACTCACGACCTCGGTCGAGCCCGAAGTGAGTCGGAGTGTATCTGCAAAATATATTATTACAAGGCTGCCTAAGACACCGAAAATTTCGGAATTCATCAACCGCATTTTTTTATTATAACTAAACAAAACAAAATTAAACAGTCATTTACATTCCATAGCTTTCCACATGATGCGACATAATAGATGAAGAAGTTAAAAATAGATTGTTGAACTTCATGCGATCTTGATAAATCTACACCATAAGCCACTAAAATCACTTTTTTAATGTAAAAATAGCAATAAATCAATTAAAAAAAAAGCTTTATACGTGGTAGAGCTATGCTGCAGTTATACTAGTAGTATAGTTGTAGCACGAATGGGTCGGCTCGACCGGGGAAGGACCACGCTCTCACAGAATACCTGTGTAAAATAAGTAGCTTAATGCTGCTGTGTTTCGTATGGTGAGTGTAGAGAACCTGAGACCCTTTTTACTGGAAACGAGACATTCCATCTTAGTCCTGATGGATGGACAAAGCATCTCCATTTTGATTCGTAATCGAGAATAGATTTAGATGTCTATGGGCCGCAGCAACCACTTACCATCAGGTGAACTGTGTGCTCGTTTGTCACACTATCCTATATAAAAAAAAACAATCATTTATTTTTTTGATAATATGCTTTTAATATCATATGTTCAATATGATTGTTGGATATGATTTTATGCTACAAAACATTGGATTCTTGATTGTTTAGGCGCTAGTGGAACATACCCACGCGCTTTAAGGCATGCTATAAATAAAATAAAATTACTGGGACAACTTGCCCCCTTCTATTCATAAAATTTAGTCTATAAACTTAATATTGGCCTTTTTTAAATAGAAATTTAAATGCTATCTTATAAAAATAAACTTTTTTCATAACATTGGTGGTGGCAATGTAGCACACAGCAACTAATCGCGGGATCGAACTCGGGTTGTTCGCGCACTTTGTAATGTGACGGCGAACGCTTTACGCGCCATACTGTGAAATTAATCGCGAACTTTTTTGAACTTGGACATGACGGTTCTTTTTAGGTAGTTTGGTGAATAAGTTGCATAGCTTAAGACTCACACTTAAAAGCAACTACACTGCAGTAACACATCAGGTGCTGATTAACGAGGGAAAATTCGGTGGTTCCAGGTCCGAATCCAGACGATGCCGGGCTTTGCTACAACATTACGCGAGGCGTGGCCCAAGATGGTGCAGAATGAGGGCTACGGTACTTTCTACAAAGGCCTTGTCCCGCTGTGGGGTAGACAGATCCCGTACACTATGATGAAGTTCGCCTGCTTCGAGAAGACCGTGGAGCTGTTGTACAAGGTACAGGATAGCTAGCACATAGTATAAAAAAGTTAAATTTACAGCCTATATATGTCCCACTGTACTGTATAGTGTACATAGTATATTCATACCATTGCTAAGCAAAAATCGCCTTTGATTTACATTTTAATAGCGTATTTAGTTGTATAACTCAAAATAATAAAAGAACTTCAGTTGTTAACCTACAGACCTATACTACGGCATATACCTCCCATATAATCTATGGGAGTTGCCTACGTTCTGCAGTGGATAGTATGTAATTAATTAATGGATGTATATGTTTTTGTAACTGTTTTTTTTAACTCATACCACAGAAAAAAACCGGCCAAGGGCGTGTCGGGCCACGCTCAGTGTAGGGTTCCGTAGTTTCCCGTCCGTCACAATAAGTGTTCCCACTTATGAGTTTAAAGGTGGGTATCCATTATGTTCGCGCTCCAGCAGCGCTCCGCGCTCCTGCAACTGCTCCCGGTAGTGGGTACTGTTGTTTCCATCCAAGTTCAAAATGATTTTCCTAGAAAGTCCTTATAAAGTTCTATTTTTCAGATTTTTTTCATATTTTCTAAACTTATGGTTCAAAAGTTAGAGCGGGGGGGGGGGGGAGCACATTGTTTTCTACTTTTGGAGCGATTATTTCCGAAATTATTGACATTATCAAAAATGATTTTAGTAAACCCTTATTCATTTTTAAATACCTTTCCAACAATATATCACACGTTAGGGTTGAAATTAAAAAAAAGAATCACTTCCCACTTTACATATAGGGGGACTACCCTAATAAAACATTTTTTTTCCAATTTTTATTTTACCACTTTGTCGGCGTGATTGATACACATATCGGTACCAAATTTCAGCTTTCTAGTGCTAACGATCACAGAGATTAAGCGAGGACGGACAGACGGACATACAGACATGGCGAAACTATAAGGGTTCCTAGTTGACTACGGAACTCTAAAAACTGATGAATACATCAGTTGTATACTACTAGAAGTACAGGACATTAGTGTCTAAAATGTTCATACAAACACAGAGCTACTCGCCTTAATATACTCTTGAGTAACACTAACTGGTTCCAAATAGTTCGCCTTTCTGCGATTCAATTATTTTTTTAAATTTTTGTGTCAACAAAAAAAATTCTTGACTTTGACATCTTTTTCATTTTAGTTGACATTGTCTAAAGTTACCTACAAATAACTTTTTGTTAAAACTACTTTACAACCACCTTGTACATATAGAAAAGGCTGTATAGGCACGCTATTAAAGCCCAACAATGAAGATGTACGGGATCAACAAGCAATTGAATAACTTCTGTAATGTGAACTGCCACTTTTCTAGATTATTCGGTTTTAACCCTAGAATAGTTGTAATTCTGGTCATCCGTCATACAAGAAATCTTACCTTAAGCGGTATCTAAAACTAGCTTCACAGGTTGCACGCTGGTGTGCGCTGTTGTTCAGATCTGAACTAACTAGACTGGTGACGATGGTACAATGTCAGTTGTAAAAATTTGTCTTTGAATATGTGTATGTGTGCGCAGTATGGTAGTGCTTATGTAAAAAATTAAGTCTAGGTCACCATACTATTTGAACAAACTTTTGACACGCGTGTGCAAAGTATGTGATTCAAATGTCAAAATTTAAGTGTAAGCTGGCATAGTATTTGGACAAACTTGACGGTTGTGTGAGCAGTATTGAGCGTATATATTTGTACAAATTTTTAACGTGTGTTTGATTATTTAGTGTGTACGTAGTATGTGGTACCAATTTCAAAATTCGGTGTATGCAAGCATAATATTTGTACAAAGTTTGGACGTGTGTTTGATCATTTGATGCGTATACGCAGTACGTGGTGCCAGTGTCAAAATTTAGTGTATGCAAGCGTAATATTTGTACAAAGTTTGGACGTGTGTTTGATCATTTACGCAGTAGGTGGTGCCTATGTCAAAATTCAGTGTTTGCAAGCGTAATATTTGTACAAAGTTTGGACGTGTGTTTGATCATTTGGTGCGTATACGCAGTACGTGGTGCCTATGTCAAAATTCAGTGTATGATGCAAGCATAATATTTGTACAAAGTTTTGACAACAGTACAAAGTCAAAATTCGGTGTATGCAAGCATAATATTTGTACAAAGTTTGTACGAGTTCGATCATTTGATGCGTATACGCAGTACATGGTGTCAGTGTCAAAATTTAGTGTATGCAAGCGTAATATTTGTACAAAGTTTTGACGTGTGTTTGATCATTTGGGCGTAACGCAGTACGTGGTGCCTATGTCAAAATTCGGTGTATGATGCAAGCATAATATTTGTACAAAGTTTTTTGACAACGCAGTAGTGTCAAAGTCAAAATTCGGTGTATGCAAGCATAATATTTGTACAAAGTTTGGACGAGTTTGATCATTTGATGCGTATACGCAGTACATGGTGTCAGTGTAAAAATTTAGTGTATGCAAGCGTAATATTTGAACAAAGTTTTGACAACAGTACAAAGTGAAAATTCGGTGTATGCAAGCATAATATTTGTACAAAGTTTGGACGAGTTTGATCATTTGATGCGTAAACGCAGTACGTGGTGCCAGTGTCAAAATTTAGTGTATGCAAGCATAATGTTTGTACAAAGTTCGGACGTGTCTTTTATTGTTTGACGCGTGTGGCAGTACGTGGTGCCGAAGCCGCGCGAGCAGTGCTCCAAGGGCGAGCAGCTGGTGGTGACGTTCGCGGCGGGCTACATCGCCGGCGTGTTCTGTGCGATCGTGTCGCACCCCGCGGACACTGTCGTCTCCAAACTCAACCAGGTGAGCAAGTGTTTTGTTTTAAATTCAACTATTCTTTATGCTACGGCCACACTACCGTGATATGGCAATAATTATGGGCACATGGTACACAATCAACTCAATCAGATTTTTCTCAGACACATGGTATAACCACACACACACACACTGCATGTTCTAAGTACACTTAATTCTGTTTTAGATAATAAACTTTATGTTAACTTTAATTAAGTAGCTATGGAAGAGCGAAAGCACCTAATACAGGCATTTGCTTAAAAGGTGTCTTCGATCACTATCTGTAAATGTATACAATATGTAAACGAAAATAAATTATTATTTAAGAAGCAAACAACAGCTCCGGTGGTCTTTTTCGATGAATATCAAAGACGAAAACCGTGGTAATTTTTGCGTCAAGTGGTCACACTGCAGTTTGTTCAGCGTCATGAGCTAAACGGAACGCTTTTTCCGCTTTTTGTGCAATTTTATCCACAATTTTCTTTGTAAGTCTTGATTTGGCTTTGTTACAATGTAAAAGGTTCATGTAATAGACTCTAACGCACATAAAGTGCAACACCGTCGTAGGTTCAACCTCCATCTTGCAAAAGGACATTTTTTCCGCGTAGGTCATTGTCATATCTAGGTAAACTATAGTAACCGGTCTACATCACTCGGTAATTAAAGCAGTAATTTAATGCCATAATTATTGCAGTAAACGGGTAGTAGACGGTAAGGTAGTGTGGCAGTAGCTTTCTAAACTACAGTATATAGGTGGTAGAGCCATGCTACAGCTATATTACTATTATAGTTGTAGCACAAATGGGTTGGCTTGACCAGGGAAGAACCATGCTCAGAGTCTACGAGCCTAAAATAGCAGCTTAACACTGCTGTTGGTATGGTGAGTGTAGAGATCCGGAGACCCTTTTTAATGAAAATGAGGCATTTCATATTAGTCCTAAGTATTGACATGTCTGCATATTAATTTTATGTTGAGGATTGATGTAGATGTCAATGGGTCATAGCATCCACTTACCATCGGGTTGTCACCCGTATTCTATAACATAAAAATAAACTAAATGATTTTTATCAATTTTAATTTAAATTTTTTAATTCCTGACGTTTCAAGCGCTTTATAGCAACCATGGTCACGGGAGCTTTAAGCTTGTTATGCGTAGATTGGACCAAAGATTAATATTTATAAGTTCTAGATAGTTTTTGTTAACTATGACATTGAGATGTCAAACACCTCAGTTCAACCCTTAAACCATGGGTGCCGTGAAACGCACTAAAAATCGGGAATTAAAATGTTAAAATTAAACGTGACAAAATCCGTAAAGTTAAATTAATATAAATTATATAAAAGAAGTCTGTTTTGTTTATTTTCCACAAAAAATATGTAATATCCTTGATTTTATGTCTTATAAACCTCGATGAACATGGCTAGTTAATTTATTTTATTGTTATTAATATATAGCTGGTACCTGGCGCATTGCAATTACGAAAACATCTTTTTATGTTCGTAAGAGTTATATTGTTTAATTAGTAATGATAAAACGTTCATTGAAGTTGAACTTTCAAGTAAATTTGTCGGTACGATACGCGCGCTACCTACTTTAAGTTAATTGTACTATGCCTATAACCTTCGCGCAAATGAAAGCAATAAGTGGACAAAGTTTTACCGCAAACTAATGAATGATATCGCAGCTCATAAAATATGAACAAACACAAAAAAGACATAAACATTAATTTTCATATATTAGATTATAATATATACAACTTTGTTGTTTATTACTTTATAAATTCCTTCACTGTCTAACAGTCGACATCGTCAATATCATTACAGCCACTCACAGCCCCTACACAACGTTGATCCTGAGCTACTTGCATCTGCATACCCTATAGCAATGGTGGCGTACTTTTATGTATCAACGTGCCATTTTTCTAAAGAAATGTTTAAATGGGTAATAGACGTGCCGTAAAATAATTTTCACTTCGTGATTATTGAGAAAATAATAGTACTAAACTCAAAACTCTTTATTTACTAGAAAAAATAAAGAGTTTTGAATTGAGACATTATATTTGAATTGAATTACACGTACAACTTAAACATTTATATAATGAAATAAAATGTCTTTTTCAATGTATAACTAATATTAGTGTAACTTCTGTTGTTGCAGATTAGATGACAAATAACTTACATTGCGCTTGTAAAATCATAAATATAACACAAATGAACTTTTAAATACAGTTGTGTCAACGAAATTACAACCCTTTACAAGTCCACGCCTCCCCCAAGCAATGCATAGTTCATTTACGCGTAGTATAATAGTCAATGATGATGATGAAACTATGCGTCATTAGCAATAGTGGTCCACGTTGTAACTAGGATCACTCGCGTTCGTTTGTAATATTACACTTGATACTGAACTTTGTGGTTGGTGGAACAAAATATGGTGTCGCGCGCTATCGATGGCACGCGTGCCATTGGTTCGCCATCTCTGCCCAATAGTATATGTATTGCATGCATTTATACTGAGAGTTAGTACTTTTGCGGTACACACACTTGGCTCTTTTTCTATCTAGAATAAGTCTGCGTCGCTTCTTACCTATTTCTCTGCTACCAAATAGCAGTGCGTGCGTTCACAATTATTTATTTGCATAGAATGTAGGTAGATATTACAAGAGAATTGTTAAGACATAAAAGTTCCTATACATTCTGCCTTATTGAGGCGTGCAAATTTTGACTAATTAGATATGTATAACATTTTTTTTTTTTGATGAATTTAACTTATTTACAAATATCAAAATGTTGTGTTTCGAAGGTTATAGACAGCCAGTATAATTACACGCTGAGACACTATCTTAGTACTCAGATTCTTTGTTTGATAGTTGGTTGCAGTGCGCCATGAGGTGCAGTGGCCACCTACCATCAGGTAGACTATAAGTTCGTTTGTCATGCAATTTCAATAGGGGGCAATAAAAAAAAACAATCTTCCGCTCACCAGATGTCGCTGGTTGACACTGAGGTGAAGTTTTTTTGTTACACAATGTCATTTAATTAATAAGTTAGTTTTATATAAAAATTCTGGAGTATTTAATACACAAAACAATGAACAAAACCTCAGTGGTTTGCCCTTTAATTTTTTACACTTGTTTAACTCTTTTTTTTTTCTACTTTTATGAATATCAATGGTTTTTTTTTTTAATTTTATCTAATTAATATAAAATATAACTAGTAGAACAGAAAAAACATTAACCTTTACATTTTCCGAATAAATTCACTTCCCCGCTATAATATAAATCTGTCCTGATGACAAAGTCATGGATGCTCTAATTGCGATAGTATATAATACAACTATTGACTAAATAGTATTTTAGTATACTAGCTTGCATAAAAGTTACAAAGAATTACTAGCATGGAGGGACAATAGAATGGTTAAGAATACAAACTATTGAAAAGGTGGTGGGTTCGAATCCGCCGTTGTATCTACTAATGTCGTAAACAATTACTTAACAAGCACTTTAAGCTTAACTAGAGCGGTTTATGTGATTATAAGTAGCGTTAATAAGACTGCTAGTAATTCATTTTATTTATTTATGTACACAAGATATATAGAAACACTCATATAGTGAGTTTGTACGAAGTTCTACTTATTCCATAATTTACTGAAATATCTTATAGTAGACCAATAAATAGAAATATATTTTAAAAAGGCAATAATATAAAAAATTTAACGTAAATTATATTAAATAAAAAAATAACTATTATATATATATATATATATATATATATATATATATATATATATATATATATATATATATATATAAAATAACTATACTATATATAATATATTATATAAACTAATAATACAATAATATATATTAATTAACAAGATACAAAAAAATTATCTCTTACACATTTCTTAAATGCTAGTAAAGTTTCAGAACCTTCTATGTATCTCGTATTATGAACATTACAAAGAAAAATTACACAGTTCATTGAAACTCAGATACTAGTTATTAAAATACACATTGCTTTAGTGTCTCAAGAACTGTATATGTGAATAAGTTCATAAGTTAATACTAAATAATGTAATGTTTTAAAAATTAAAATTGGATAATTTTCATTAATTTACAACTCCTACAGATTTCACTAGTGTAAGTATTTATGCCCAATTTATTTCCTGTTGACTTCCAGGACAAGACCGCGACAGTGGGTTCTATAGTGGGTAAACTCGGATGGGCTGGAGTATGGAAGGGTCTTGGACCTAGGATCATCATGATCGGTACTCTAACCGCACTGCAGTGGTTCATCTATGATGCTGTCAAGGTAATTGTTGCTTAAATATTTTTGTACAAAGTCACTAAAAATTGTCAGATCATTTTGTCCTCCCCTGGATGTCGTAAAAGGATATGGCTAAATATTTTATTTCTTACCATGGTAGGAGGTAGTTACAGCCTATATACGTCCCACTGCTGGTCACGGGCCTCCCCTCATTTCTGAGAGGGTTTTAGGGCAAGGAAGTGTCCGCCGCGCTGCCCCAATGCGTGGCGATTTTCACATGTCTTCGAAATATTTTTTTTCTTATCCTCCGACATGCAGTTTTCCTCACGATGTTTTCCTTCACCGCCGAGCACGTGGTATATCAGCACTTAAAATTGCAATTAACAATTTCATTGGTGCCGGCGGGGATCGAACCTGGTTTGCTCGCGTACTGTGAAATTTACAGAGAGCTATATATTTATTTCTTACCATATATCTATGTAAAGGAGGCGAAAGAGTTGTGTCAGGATTGTTTCAAATGGAAGTCCGTAGTCTCTGCCTACCCCTCTGGGTGACAGGCGTGAGTGTTTATGTATGTGTCTTATTAATTCCCATAGATGGCAGTATATAAATAATGTCCTGACTAATTTTGAAATGGCAGCCAAACATAACAAAGACTAAGGACAAGATTTGTAGTGTGTGTGCAGATGCACTACCTTTTTCCTCAATTTTATAGACCGATAGGTCGGTAATCCTATACGACCGGAGATAGATTTACATGTAGTAAAGCCACGCTGTAGCTATATTAGTTTGTAGAACAAATGGGTCGGCTTGACCGGGGAAGGACCACGCTCTCACAGAATACCAGCGTAAAATAGCAGCTTAATGTTGCTGTGCACCGTATGGTGAGTGTAGAGAACCGGATAGCCTTTTTACTGGAAACAAGGCGTTCCAACTTAGTCCTCACGGGTGACAACTCATCTGCATTTTTATTCATAATCGAGGATAGATGTAGATGTCTATGGGCGACAGCAACCACTTACCATGGGACCGTGTGCTCGTTTATCACCATTTTCCTATAAAAAAAACAATGAAAATTATAGGCCTGTGTTCAACTTGGGGACATATAGGTAACCGGTACAGTTATCATTAACATCAGTCAATTCGTCTGGCAAATTCAAAATGACAATTTCGTTATTTGTCGCCAGATAGCCCTGTTTTGTTGTTTAAGAAATTTATTTCTTATAAGAATAGAACATTAATTTGTCTGAGAAAGACAGGATTGATTTAAAAAAGATAAATATGTTTACATCGAAACAAGTGCTGGAGCGACATTATTTCATCATTGAGTTATCATAATTGTAAGAATATTGACAGTTACATTTCAAATTCCAACTAACGTGAAATATAAAATAAAAATGTGGGTGATTAAAAAACAATTACATCAACAGCAAACAATTCCAAACATTGCACATTATAGAGTATTGGGTATGTTCTGAAACGTTTTCAGTATACTGCCATATACAAATGACGTCATCAGTTGACACCATATTGTACTGGCGTGCCGCCGCTATATTGTGTCGGATATCCGTCCATATTAAAACAATTTTTAACTGTGTGTATGTTGAATGAAGCATGCCAGAATTTGTTTTTTTTTATACAATACAAAAAATTATAGAATAACTGCTGGGATCTGGATCTCCATTAATAGGATATAATGATTTTTGGAGCACAAAATGACATACATTAGCGCCATATTGGAAGTGTTGGCGATTATTTTGACGTCATATACTGTCCTATGTTTTGGAACGAATCACCAGTATAGCGTCGATTCATGACGTCATTTGCATTGGACACTACACTGGGTTCTATTTTGGAACATACCCATTATTGGGTGCGTTTGGCAGAAAAAAGCGCTAGCAAGCGCTTGTAAGCAAAATGGCGATCGTAAGCGGTAAGCGCTGTCAAATCGTAAGTAGCTATTTTCCTCTAGGACACGAAGTTAGTTTTAACCGGGGAACCTATCGTAATTTGAATATATATTTGTAAAGTATTCATATTAAAAACTTACCAATCATGAATTTTTAATAACATGTATATGTTTATTCACGTTATTATATTACTTAAAACTAATATTGCACAAAACAACTTATAAACTCTACTTCAAAACAAACAAATTAAATAAGCAAAATGGCCGATTGTGTCAGCGCTACTGAAGTAGCAACCGTGTCCTGGCCGAAAACTATTTTAGCGCTTGTAAGCGCTTGCTAGCGCTTTTTTCTGCCAAACGCACCCAATAAGTAGCAGTTGCAGCTCGCCCTAGTAATTCCAAAAGCCAATGATTATCATAGTCAACCAATTGTTCCTACCGAATGTTTATGTTGACAAAAGCGTTATGAGGTGACAGAATATATAACCCTGGTAAAACGATTATATATTTGTCCAGTACTAATGTGTGTTGTGTGTAGGTATGGCTGAGGATGCCGCGGCCGCCGCCAGCTGAGATGCCAGAATCTATGCGCAAGCGGCTTGAAGCCGAACAAGCGGCTAAGTGAAATGTTCTAGTGGAAAAAAGCCATTTGTAGCAGTAATACACCGATAGTAACTTATTCCATGCACGTGTTTGTATTGTTTACTTTAAAGACATCTCGTAACTAACTGTATTATTTAAATTATTTATTTATAAATATATTTGTAAAAGACGCGTAAAACTCATATGATAGGTAATTCAGTAGAAAAAAATGTGCATGGATATTTATCGAGCCGGCTGTAACAGTATTTCTGTCACACATGTAGGTGTTAAAAACAAAATATGTATGGGGAGTTAGAGTAAAGGATGTGTTATAGAAGTAGTATTACGATGGCATTATGTCGGTTATGTAATTATTGCCGCACGTATATATAAGTTCAATTTGTGATTACCATTTTCAAACAGTATGTAAAGTTATTGATCGTGTTAAATTATTTCTCGAATAAATATTATTTTTATTTATTCATTCATTCTTTATTTTATCATATTCTACGCCCGCGGTACATTTTGTTTATATTATATATTATATCTGTAACCAAAGAGTGTAACTCTATATTCATCTTTTTGAAAATAAAACCAATAGTCCTACATATTTTTGTTTAATTTTACACTTTTCAAGATATTTTTATATTACATTGACAGAGTAATAAATATTAACAAACTTGCGAAAATAAGTCTTTATTGCCCCTTGCACTTTGGCAAAACACCGATACGTTTCCTAGTAAAGAACAATGGTTTATTGCATTTTACGACCCGACTCTGCCTTTTAGATGCCGCTCTTCCCTGCAATGTGTTTTTACTTATTATTATAGCTAGCCAGTCTTTAATAGTTTCTTGTTGAGAAAACACCTAACCTCTCCGAGTCTATATTTTTTTTAGAATTACATATATTAAAATTTCAATGTGCGTTTTGTTGTTAGTGTGTGATTTTGTGAATAATGCATGAAATGATTGTTTGTGATGTGAATTATTTTTATGGTAGCATATCATTTGGATTGTGAGCTTGCATCTTGATACTGGCTGCGTAAATGGCGATGGGCTTCATGTAACTATATTTTAAACATATGTACGTATATCTGCATTTACTTACAATATTATATTAAAGTCTAAAATTAATACACATTAGATGTAACAAAACATTTTTTCTATTTTTTTTTTCTTTTCTTTTATTTGCTACGACACTCACTACTCCATGGGTTATGGAATGCCTAAAGGCATTCTCTACCAGTCAGTTCGCTTTGTATCCTCGCAATAAAGATTTAAAAATAAAATAAATAAGTATATACTGAACGTAACTTTTTCCTTATTTCGAAAGTGTAATTATACGTATCAATACAACGGACAAGCGTTACTGAGCTAAAATGATTTGCAATACATTTACTTTTCATAATAATAAATACGTGACGTTTTTGTTTTGCATATGGAAGTAACCGAATTAATGTGGAGCTGCATAAATATGTATATATTTTGCAAATATGATTATCTCTTGTATGCCTTCAGTATATTAGATATTTATTTAACAAAGTTGCATTAAGTGTTTCCTTTGTATTTGCCAGAAAACGTTAACAAAAATATTTTACTACAACGTGGCCGCCATTTTGTTTGCATGTGCATTTACTTATAATATTATATCATATACAGTAAACGTAACTTTCCCTTATTTCGAAAGTATAATTATACATATCAATACAATGGACTAAAGCGAAAATAAGTTACATTACATTTACAAAAACGACATTTTTCTTTTGCTAAGGGAAGTAACCTGCCATACTTGAAGTAGTACATGAAGTAAGCTGCCATAAATATGTATATATTTTACAAAAATCGTTATCTCTTGCATGCCTGCCATGCATACATGAGACATTTATTTAATAATAAAATTGCATTAAGTGTTTCCTTTGTATTTGCCTGAAATCGCTTACACAAAATATTTTACTACGTCAAAAACGTGGCCGCCATCTTGTTTTGCCTAACGTTTATTGCATGGTCGTTCAATTCGTAAAATCTTCAAATTTAATTTTAAATACGTTGATATTATACAATCAAAACATGTTATCTAAATGGATTTAATTTTGAATTTTGCATTCTGTACTCGAAAAAGTATATGTGTAAGATATTAACAACGATAAATCCAACTACCTGTATATATTGATACTGAACTTAACATTTGTTATTCAACAAATAATAAGAGAAGAGTAAGGTAGAGAACATTATTGTAAATAAAAGGTTTTGTGTAGCGTATAATTTCAATATACAAGAAAATGAGTAAAGTAATTATACCTGCTAAAATAAAAAATATGCAAAACTATAGATTAAATTGGTTGCGTTTGGCAGATAAAAGCGCTAGGAAGTGCTTGTAGTAAGCAAAATGGCGAAACTAAACAGTTTTCGGCCAGGACACGTTTGCTAACTTCAGTAGCGCTGATACAATCCGCCATTTTGCTTATTTACTTTGTTTGTTTTGAAGTAGAGTTTATAAGTTGTTTTGTGCAATATTAGTTTTTAGTAATATAATGACATGAATAAACATATTATACATGTTATTAAAAATTCATGATTGGTAAGTTTTAATGTGAATACTTACAAACATATATTTAAATTAGGTTAGGTTCCCCGGTTAAAGCTAACATCGTGTCCTAGAGGAAAATAGCTACTCTTACGATTTGACAGCGCTTAAAACCGCTTACGATCGCCATTTTGCTTACAAGCGCTTGCTAGCGCTTTTTTCTGCCAAACGCAGCCAATTGTTATATGTAGTATATTATTAGTCTAGCTTTTTACCGTGAGTTCGTCCGCGTAGAATTTAGCCAAAGAAACTAGATCTATAAGAGGCCTTTGAGCAAGTAGTTCAACTATCGAAGCATATTTTTAAGGTGACACCTCGAAAAAATGCACCTTTCATCGAATAGTATAGGACTATGACACCACTAACGAAAGTGGAATTTTGATATAGATAAATTCATGTCTTTATCTTGAATTTGCTTGTTCAAAAACACAATTGTATAATTATTTGCGAAAACATCTCTAAAAATCACTATATTTGAAGTTACAACGAAATTGTAACTTCAAATATAGTGCTATATGCTTGGGAATCACTCAAATATATTCATAATTTACTTGCTCATTATTTTGATAACTTAAATAAATAATCTTAAAATATAAGATTCTGACAATCTCTAAGCGGTGTTAATCGTCGCGGGCGCAATTTTAGACCTTATGATGGTGTTTTTAAGTTTTTGCTATTATCCTGAAATGATGTGTGATATGTAAAATTGTAAAGATAAAATTAAGATCTATGAATTTGTTGCATATAAGTTACCTATCATTTATCAATCATTATGTTCTTTAAATAAATGAGTAAAAATCTATTTTGCAAGAAAACCCCTAACCATTAATATAATCAGGCGTTACTCTAGGTTTTTTAATAAAATATAAATTAGATCTATTACTGATGTTTCATCACAATTTATTCAATCATGTTATATGTGGTAGAGCCATGCTCAAGCTATATTAGGATTGCATGACGAATGGGTCGGCTCGACCGGAAAAGGATTCCGCTCACATAGAATAGCAGCCTCATTTGCCGTTTACAGTTCATTCTCGCTCCAATTTCGGTATGATTTATTATATTATTGTAATGGGGTCGAACGAAACTTGACTGTATGGATAGTATGAGTGCACACATATTTTTTTAATTTATAATATTTTATCAGACCGAGAACGAACTGTGAACGGCATTACCCTAATGCTGCTGTGTCATATGGTGAGTGTAGAGAACTGGAAATGGGCATTCCAATTAAATGGTGGCAATGCATTTTGAATTTTTCTTATACAAGGTAGATGACAGATGTATAAGCCCATGATCCATCCATACATCCTCTCACCAATAGGTGAGTTTTCTGTTTGGTTACCCTTATTATATTAAGATAATTCTTCTGCAAAAATTCTATATAGGACAGATATAGACTAATACTAAATAGACAAGTAAACATTTAATAGAAGTAAATTATTTCAATACTAGAAATAGCAATTTCAATGCTATTTATATCTACAGATGTATAAAATTGATTTGAAATTCATATTAAACCATCATGTGGTCTAAAAAAATATTGCCATCGACATCTATTATTACTTATAATAAATATAAAAGAAAATAATTTTTAAATACTTAAGAACCATAAAACATTATTCACTTACAATATTTGCAACACTATGTAGGTATAAAATATTAAATGGAACTAAAAGATTTATTATACTATACAAATATATATAAAGGCAAATCATGGTGTAAAGCCATTCATTAATATCATTTATATTTAGTCACTCGCTATCAAATATTTTAACATAATATTACAAAAATAAAAGTTATAAATAATTTATGTATTATATTAAAATTAATAAGTGAAAAAATAAGTTAAATAAATAATATAAAATTTTAATGAAAATTAAACTAGGGAAATGAAACAAAATCATGAGTCGATAGTATATTTATTCAACAAATGTAACATTCTTACACGTTTTGAGAAGTCTAACAAATTAACAATTCATAAAAGGTATACAAACAAAACAAATTATGTAAAAGTTAATAAAATAAAGATTATCATAATATATAATAAAGATTATCATCATCATACATTTGAATAGTTTCAAAATAAAATCAATTTTGGTACCATTATATGCTTACTATGATTTTGCTTGCATGCTATAATACAATAATATGTGGTACCATTATATGCTTACTATGATGCTGATTTTGCTTGTATGCTGTTTTCTTAACATATACATTAGCAAGTAATCACAAAAACGGTAAGAAGCAAAGTTACAGCTTATGTACACATACTGATGGACACACAAACACTTCTCACTGTTTTAGTGACTGATATTTTTAATAAAAACAATAGTGAATGTTTTGTACACAACAAATTAAAAATAAATTGAATATGATTTATTAAAAATTAACTGGTTTATACAATTGTTTTAAACACAATTTTAAAAATACATTTTTTCAATAAAACACTAAATAAT